ACTATAGCTATGACAGCCATGCATTCCTGGATTTCTGGTTCACTCTTAATATTAAAACATTGTATTATCTCTCTCTAAAAATTATTGAAAGTGCCACCAAAATATCAATCAAAACTTGTATCTCCTAAACTGCCTCTCATACCTGAAGTTGGCACAGAAATACTTTAATCAGTCCATGTGTCTCTGTGACTGAAAGACTTTTCACTGGGCAGATATTACCATGACTAAGTAGTCTAGATGGACTCAGCAGGAGAGGAGAGGAGAGGTGTGGGTTGGGTTATAGTCCTCCTCTTTACCACTGTGGCAGGCCATGTAGTCTTAAAACTTGTTGAATTTAATTTATTTCTAATAAAGTATGGATTAAGTCCCATTGAAATGAACCCCAGGAACTGTTTCAATTATTTCGTTTTGTGGAAATTTTGTAACAGATACTACTTGGCATGAAGAGGGACATTGCCTATAGTCCTTTTTTTTATATATGTAAATTTTTGTAGTAATGGAATTTGACCTCTAATTTTCCATAATTTTGATTTATAGCTTATCCTGTTAGGTATCATTTTTCAACAAAAACTCTTCAACTTATAACAGTTATAAAACCAGTTATAAATTATGATAGTCCTTGGAGGAAGGAATGACTTTTTAGAAATTTGTTTTGGATAGTTTTAAGGATAGCTATGCAGGTGTAGAATGTGAAAGCTTGTAATGGATGATACATTGGTATTCTAGAATCAGTACATTTGAAATTTAACACTTTTTTAGTCCTGTGTGACTTCATATAAAACCCTAAAGTAATAGACTTATAAGTTAGGTCTCGAAAAGTTACAGCTAAATACATTTCCAAAAATTTAATAACAAACCAAAGAACCTCAAAACTAACATTGTAAATATTAAGATAGTTGAAGGGCCTTTCTGATTCTTCTTATATGGACTCTTCTGTGAATAACTATCAGCGTTTTCTTCTTTGCAGTATTACAGCTGCCCACACAGCATTCCCCATGTCAAGAAAAGTCCACTTTCTATCCCCAAGGAATGTGGAAGCATAATAGTCTTTCTTTAAATTAGAATATTTTATCACGATGCAATCTCACAACAGTCTCCAGATGAGGAATGGAGAATATATGAAATTTCATGCTCTATGAAACTGAACCACAGGCTCAGAGTTAGAAACTGCCTTCTGTAACCTGGCACGTACGCGTGTTTTCTGCAGGTCCCACTTATTCATACAACTTCCGCAGAACTGTCTAAGGAAGATAAGTGGTTTTAAGTTGGGTTGCTCTCTCAAATGGACAGTCATCTTTCAGGTATAATTTGCTTGTCAAAGAAACATCTGTAGATTGCTATAGAATTTATCTTATAAACGTGAAGAGAGATTTTTGGACTTCTTGAATATTGCCCTTCTGGTGTCTACAGCGGTATGGTTTATAAACTTACATACTCTAGACCAGCGTCAGCAAACTTGCTCTGTAAGAGGCCAGATAGAAAATATTTTAGGCTTTGTATGCTACATGTGGTCTCTGTCGAATGTTCTTTGTGGGTTGCTTGTCTTTGGTTTTTTTATCACTTTAAAAATGTAAAAACCATTCTTAGCTAGGGTCCCTACCGAAACAGGCCATAAGCCAGGTTTGTCCACTTGGGCTGTGGTTTGCTGACCCCTGCTCTAAATCAGTACTGTCCAATAGAAATACAATTTGAACCATACATGTGATTTTTAATCTTTTAGTAGCTACATTTAAAAAGCAAAAAGCAGATGAAATTAATTTTAATAATATATTTAGCTAATTATATACAAACTATTAGTCATTTCAGTCTGTGGCACAGGCCACATTTCAGGGGCTCAGCGACCACATGTATTAGAGAGCATGCTCCAGATGAAAGCTACTCAGAATAAGGGCCATGAACTTGTAGTTTGTTACCGGTCTCTGACAAATTAGGTATAGGAATTAAAAGTAAGCATTTAAAATATTTTATAGCTATTTGATAGTTCTTTTATGTCTATTCTGCCTAATAAGAAAATTGGCACTTGTATTTCATAGATCTTTTTTTACATTTCATTTTTCCTAATAATTTATTCTTATCTTACAAAAGAATCGGTCTGCAAAATTAAAAAAAGAACCTGCCTCTTCATTCTGGATGGTTGAAGAGGCACTGCTGTAAACAGTCTTTCCTAAGACTCTGCAGGCCTCTTGTGTACATGGCAAAAATAAAACCAAGAGAAACAGTGAGGAGATTGTGGTAGGTAGTTTTATTTAGAACCTCTCACGCCCTGCCAACTGCCCCAGAGCAGTGTCCTTTTTACTTATCTCTTTCAGAGCTACCATTGGAGCCCGTGGCTGGAGTATCCTCCTCAGTGGTTTTTCTTCTCTACTGAAGAATCACCCAGAGAGAGCTTATTAAAAAAAAAAAAACAAAAAACAGCAGTGTCCAGGCCCATCTCCAGACCAATGAAATCACAATCTCTTGGGAGGGAGGGGGCCTATGTATCATGTAGTTTCAAAAGCTCTCCAGGTGATTATATTATGTAGCCAGTGTTTATTGTGTGGATCCCTCACCCTAGGGGGGGGCAGAAAATTGCTATTTTTCCATTTGGAAAGAATCACTCATCTGGGCAGGGGGTTTTCTGTGTGGTGTACTATTCACTCTCTTTAACACTGAAAAGGGGACTTTCCAGTTAAGAATGTCAGATTGAACATTGGCATTTTAACTACTCATTCCTGGAACCCCACTAAAATTAAAGGAATATAAAAAGTATAAGGCATAAACCCACAAGAAGTAAGCCTGATTGGTTAACAAGTTTTTGGTAGAAGCAGTAGCTAGAAATTAACAGAATGGAGAAAATTATCTAAATGCCTGCAAATGAGGATGTTAAAAAGAAGCAAAGCAGTTTATACTGCTGGCTCAGAAATTAGAGCAACCAGTTAGTTCAGAAGGTAAGGGTGAAATATAAAGCTGAACACTGGAATGGTTGAAAGTCTGTATGCTCATGAGACTGTTGCTCTTTTACCTTGGATAAAACTATAGGTTAGAGTTTGGAGAAATTTTCTAAGACGGTCAGTCAGAGCTTGAGGTGTATCTTTTGAAAATAAGGACACCTTTTAAAAAATAGAGACTAAGCAAAAGCCTGAAATGTTGTGGTTAAAACCCTACCATTCCCCTTGCCCTGTTCTCAGAACATGGCAGTCAGCTGTCTGCCCCAGAGAGGAAATTGGAACATTTCTCTCTGGGATAAACAGCCAGGAGAGGGGTGCCTGATTGGCTCAGTCGTTAAGCGTCTGCCTTCGGCTCCGGTCATAATCCCAGGATCCTGGGATCAAGTCCCACTCAGGCTCCTTGCTCAGCGGGGAGCCTGCTTCTCCCTCTGCCTCTCTCTCTGTCTCTCTCCGTCTCTCATGAATAAATAACAAAATCTTTTTTTTTAAAAGACTTATTTATTTGAGAGAGAGAGAGAGAGAGAAGGAGAAGATAGAGGGAGAGTGAGAGGGAGAAGCAGACTCCCCACTGAGCAGAGAGCCTGACGTGGGGCTTGATCCCAGGATCCTGGGATCATGACCCGAGCCACTTAACCAACGGAGCCACCCAGGCACCCCCCCCTTTTTTTTTTTAAGATTTATTTATTTGAGAGAGAGAGAAAGAGATGAATAAATAAAATCTTAAAACAACAACAACAACCACCAGGCACGAGACTTAACAGATCTTGACTTTCCTGGATTTCCTAATAAAAAAGCAACTCACTGCCTCTCATTACCTTGTGGGAAAGCCAACCAGTTGACAAGTACCTTACCCAACCACCTGCACCACCATGCACACAGAGCTTCTGATCAGCATGGTAGTGGCCACATCAACTGTGATGGACAGCTGGGGCTCATCAGACCCTTGTGGAAAGCCTATAAAATTAAAAAAAAAAAAAAAAAGACCTAAAGATTTAAGAAGAGGAAGAAACAGATAAAAATATTTAAAATGTTAAAAAAAAAAAACAGAAGAAAACATTTGAAAAATTTGTATCCTCTGAGAAATGTGATATTCATCCAAGAAACTAGAATAGGATGTTATTAAAAAGAACATTCAGAGAATAAGAAAACAGTCTTAGAAATTAAAGCTGTGATAGGAAACATTCTAACTGCAGTAGAAGTGTTGCGAAGTGATACCAAAAAAATCTTCCAGACAGTAGAAAAGGAAAAGAAATGTGATATTGAAAAGAAAATCTATACAGTCATGGGACACCTGGGTGGCTCAGTTGGTTAAGCATCTGCCTTCAGCTCAGGTCATGATCCCAGGGTCCTGGGATCGAGTCCCGAGTCGGCCTCTGCACTTTGTGGGGAGTCTGTTTCTCCCTCTGCCTGGTGCTCCCCCTGCTTGTGCTCTCTCTCTCTCTGACGAATAAATAAGTAAAATCTTTTAAAAAAGAAAAGAAAGAGAAAGAAAGAAAAGAAAGAAAGAAAGAAAGAAAAAATCTATACAATCAGAAGATGAATAGAGGTCTACTGTTAACAAAAGGACTTTCAGGAGGGAGGGCCAGGGGCAGTGAGAAGGACATGGAAAGGACACAGTGAATGTAAAAAAGGCTCAGGCTAAGGATAAAGAGAAGCAGCTACAACTTCCTACAAAATAAAAATAGGTCACATGACAGGAGACTGGGAATTGCTGGGATAATGGACTTACTTTCCTTGATTCCCTGGGATTAGAATCAAAGATGGAAAGGAGTGGCCAGCAGTGCTACTGTTTGTTACGAGCCTTGTACTTCGAGACGACAGGCTTACGTCGTTTTATCTCACGTTCCTTCATTGCGCCTCGCAGATACTGTGTATTTTAGTTTGAAGGTCTAAGGCAGCCCTCTGTTGAGCATGTCTGTTGGTGCTGTTTTTCCCACAGCGTTTGCCCACTTCATGTCTCTGTGCCCCATTTTGGTAATTCTTGCAATATTTCAAGCTTTTTCATTATTATTATTATTATTATTATATTTGTTATGGTGATCTGTGATCGGTGATTACAACTTAACTGAAAACTGGTTAGCATTTTTTAGCAATAAAGCATTTTTTAATAAGGTATGTACATTGTTGCACACTTAGTAGACTGCAGTGTGGTATAAACATAACTTTTCTGTGCACTGGGAAACCAGAAAATGCATTTGACTTGCTTTATTTCAATACTCACCCATTTAAATCTAAATATTTTCTTTCTTTCCTCCTATTTGCCTTTCTACTCAAACTGCTTCTTTAAAATCACAGAAAAAAATTCAGTACATTGCAGAGTAGGGAGGAAAGATACTGAGTTTTCCCAAGTGATTGATCTGTAAGCTTTAGATTTCCAGATGAGTGGAATATAGCAGTTAGTAATTGAAATCGGGAAGATCACTACTCAAAGATTTTTGAACTAATTTTAATGTGTCACACAAATGTCCTGATTTCAACTTTGGAGCAGTGGAATACAGATACGTTTCAGCAATACAGAACGTATTTTCCCTTGGTAACACTTGAGGCGGTGCCTGAATTATTTGTCGTAAGGAGACAGAAATCAGTGTCATAATGAAAGTAGGTTGATGCGTGGGGAAAAGAACCCAGAGTTTAATTGAGAGGGTTTGTTTCCTTTCCCATGAGATCTGAGTATTCCATCTGAAAGGAAATGGGGAGTGAGGACTGGCCTGACTAATGATGCCCTGAGTGCTGCGAGAGGCCAGAGTGCCAGGGACCTTAAGACTGTGACCAGCGTCACCGAAATTTCCAGTGCGGGGGGTACTGCCCGTTTTGTTTGCACACACCACCTTAACTTCAGTTTCTCCTCTTCCTATTTTGTCTTTAGATCTTATGATCAATGGATAAAGTGGGGAAGATGTGGAATAACTTCAAATACAGGTGTCAGAATCTCTTCGGTCACGAGGGAGGGAGCCGTAGTGAAAATGTGGACATGAACTCCAGCAGATGTTTGTCTGTGAAAGAGAGAAACATCAGTATAGGAGACTTGGCTCCTCAGCAACAAAGCAGTCCCTTAAGAGAAAATGTTGCCTTACAACTGGGATTAAGCCCTTCCAAGAATCCTTCAAGGAGAAACCAAAACTGCGCCGCTGAAATTCCTCCGATTGTTGAAATAAGCATTGACAAGGATAGTGATTCATGTGTCACCCCAGGAGCGAGACTTGCAAGAAGAGATTCCTACTCTCGGCATGCACCGTGGGGTGGGAAGAAAAAACATTCCTGTTCTACCAAGACACAGAGTTCATTGGATACTGATAAAAAGTTTGGTAGAACTCGAAGCGGACTTCAGAGGAGAGAGAGGCGGTGTGGTGTAAGCTCCGCGCATGACACGGACAGTGTGTCCAGCAGAGCGGTGGGAAGCCGCTCTCTGAGACAGAGGTTGCGGGACACTGTGGGCTTGTGTTTTCCCACGAGAACTTACAGCAAGCAGTCAAAACCCCTCTTTTCTAATAAAAGGAAAATACACCTTTCTGAATTAATGCTTGAGAAATGCCCTTTTCCTGCTGGCTCAGATTTAGCCCAAAAATGGCATTTGATTAAACAGCATACAGCCCCTGTGAGCCCACACTCAACATTTTTCGATACGTTTGATCCATCCTTGGTTTCTACGGAAGATGAAGAAGATAGGCTTCGAGAGAGAAGGCGGCTCAGTATTGAAGAGGGGGTTGACCCTCCTCCCAATGCACAAATACATACATTTGAAGCCACCGCACAGGTTAATCCGTTATATAAACTGGGACCAAAGTTAGCTCCTGGAATGACTGAAGTAAGTGGGGACAGTACTGCAATTCCGCAAGCTAATTGTGACTCAGAAGAGGACACTACCACCTTGTGTCTGCAGTCACGTAGGCAGAAGCAACGTCAGGTGTCTGGAGACAGCCATGCCCACGTTAGCAGACAGGGAGCTTGGAAAGTCCATACGCAGATTGATTACATACACTGCCTTGTGCCCGACTTGCTTCAGATTACAGGGAATCCCTGTTACTGGGGAGTGATGGACCGTTACGAAGCAGAAGCCCTCCTCGAAGGGAAACCTGAAGGCACATTCTTGCTCAGGGACTCTGCGCAAGAGGACTACCTCTTCTCTGTGAGCTTCCGTCGCTACAACAGATCCCTGCATGCCCGAATTGAACAGTGGAATCACAACTTTAGTTTTGACGCCCACGACCCATGTGTATTTCACTCCTCCACTGTAACAGGACTTTTGGAACATTATAAAGATCCCAGTTCTTGCATGTTTTTTGAACCATTGCTTACTATATCACTAAACAGGACTTTCCCTTTTAGCCTGCAGTATATCTGCCGTGCAGTAATCTGTAGATGCACTACATATGATGGAATTGATGGGCTCCCTTTACCATCAATGTTGCAGGATTTTTTGAAAGAGTATCATTATAAGCAAAAAGTTAGAGTTCGCTGGTTAGAACGAGAACCAGTCAAGGCAAAGTAAACTCTCCCGCCCCCAATGGGCATTAACTAGATCTGCTTTTATGTGCATCAGACAGTACACCTATAGCAAGCACACATATCAGTGTTAGGTGTTTTTCAGTGCAGTATGTAGGCTTAGTGTTAGTATCTGTCAGATGCGATCTGCTGTTACTTCCTCAGATAAACGTGGTGCCTATTGAGACAACAGAGGACAGAGCTACAGGTGTTCAGTAAGGCTACAAAGGCTACAAAGGCGTTTTGTCAACTGAGCGAACGGTTTGGTTTGTAATGACTATTGTAATTGAGTGAAGCAACTCGGGGGCATTTGCTATGAAGAATTCTATTTCTTACTGAAGAACAAATTATTAATATTAGATGAGTATTTCAACAGTGTGACTAATGTTTGAAATTGTTATTTTTTCTAAGAATTTTTCTATAACCTTCCAAAAGTAGCGCTGTTTGTAGTTACTAAAAATCAAGCTTTGGAAGTCCAAAAAATAAAGACTGCCTTCCTTGGAGAAAAAAGAAAAATGCAATTTTCTGGCCACAAGGGCAGAGTGCAGTTCACTTAAGTGTTGATATAGTTTATAGTCAGTCTCTTGTCTCTTCTGCAAAAGGTACTGTTAAGCCAACCAGGTTTTCTAAATAGTTGCTCTTAAAAGTTCAGGCTTACAAAGTTGGTAGTAGAATTTTATTTCAAGGCCTTAGGTATTAATTTTTTTGAATGAGTGCTTTAACTTAAAACACATTGGGAAGAGCTGCAATGTAGTCCTGTGTGTGACTTCTTAAGTTAGTACGTGCGGTCTACTCGTTGATTAGTTAAAGTTGGATCTTTTCCTGTGCCCATGATGCGTTTGTGAACCATGAAGAAAGTGAGACTAGAAGATGCCCAGACAAGTCCAGTGATAACAGCAGTGATATGCTGATGTTGAGATGATTGTTAAACTGCAGTGAACAATTTGGATGGCACTATTTAGCTCTTTGTTGTAAACGCTCATAGCTGAATCGCTTAAATACAATTTATAGAATTTCAGTGCAGTTAATTTCTAATGGAAAATCTGAAACCCTAATTGCAGATTTAAAAGGTACTGTACAACCGTTGTATCTGTAAATAACTTTACTTAGCACCTTTTTGTCACTTAGAATAGTATGCAATACTACTTGAGTGAGCTATTTTGGAAGTAATACCAAGTCCTAGTGTTTGCTTCTTAGTATTGAGCTGAATTTACAGTTCTGTCCTAGACATTTTGCACTAGTCAAATCCATTCTTGTGTCTTTTTGTTAATGTGCTCTGTACCACTGGTGAGTGCTCCTTGGTCTCCTTACCTGCTGCTACAGAAAGTTCTTTTACATCCTGATGGCTGTTGCCAAGGCTACAAAAAAGAAAAGCTATATTTGTATGCAACACTAACCCTTTGACTGCTAATGTACGTTTCTGCTTGCTGTGCCTTGTTATGGCTGCTTTTTTGTGCTAATAAAGTATGTTTGGTGTTCTCCTTGTATATCTGCTGTTTTATACATTTGCAACAATTTCTCTTGTAAATGGAATGGTATGGGGTTTTTCAATGAGCATTACCTGACAACCTACTATAGTTAATGCAGAATTACTGTACAGTCTAATATTGACTTACTCTCGGTAAGCTAACTCTAAATTTAATGCTACTCATCTTTCCAATTGTAATCACATATACCGTGGAACAGTATCTCTAGTCACTGCAAATTACTGTACAGTTTGGATTATAACACAAAACGAACAGAGAAATATTGACTAACCTATTGATTTCTCTGCTTGTAAATGGAAAATTGAAACTATCAATGACATGTTATAATAAATGAATATCTTTAGCCTTCCACTTCATCAGAAACAAGTTAAATGAAGTCTTGTGAACTGATAATACCTCAGCACCATTTATTGGTTTGGGGACCATTTTTATTAATCATAAATGCCCAAAATGTAGAACTTTAACCAAAGACTTGTCCATTTTTAAAGCAAAATGGGGATTGAGGGGACTTATAATTCCTGTTATTTCTAATAGAAGTCCCTGAAGAACATATACCAAAGTGTTCGAGAACGTCATCCAAACCTACTTTAAAGCATTATGTGCAATTAAGTTGTTATGACGTAATTATATTGCGTAATTGTTGGGTCCGTTTTCTTGATAATGTATCTGGAAAATAATCTCTTGGGAAAAAAAAGTTCTTACTGATTATTGGAGAAAGATTATATATGCAAGCAAGATCTTGTTTTAAAGAGGAAACTTGAAACTCCAAGAAAGCACTTGATGTTTTATATGCTTGTAGCAAATTGATGTTCTAATTGTAGTTTTATAGAAAATATTAATGCTTTTATGTATTTCAGAACTTTCATATGTTAAATGGAAATTGTTTTAAATGTGTAAATATTTGAGTTTTATGTAAGCATGTATACACTGTGCTAAAAGTCACATGTTTCAGTTTGTGTGTAATATTAATATGCAACCTTTGGTTTAAAATTTTTTTCTTAAAAAATTAGTGGCTTATGTTTTAAAAAAGAAAAAATCACCAGCATGAAATTGCACCTTAGTCTATATTCACTGTGTCTTTTTCTGAATCCCATTGTAGCCTGTCAACTAAATATTTGTTTTCATGGTCTTTTTGAAGTGCATTTTAATACAAACCAGGAAATTCTTTAGAAGTTTGGACACATCTTCATAGTAAAGTAATTAACCCAAGGAAAGGTTGGTCTGATTCCTATCCATTCTCATTCTTTCTTGCATGCATGCATTCATTCATTCATTCATTCTCTCTCTTTCTCTATCTGTGTATATCTACATACACACATGCACACACATATATATACACATATATTTATACATTTATGATGTTCATATTACTTTAAACAATATTGCCATCTGATTTAAAATCATTTAGAGGCCTTATTCTATATATATATACTATCCTTGTACCATTCAAATTTGGTTATCCACACCTAAAGTTTAGTTTTGCCAATACAGTCTTATTTGTAATATAGTCACCTTACAACAAGAAGGCATTCATCAGTATTTTCTGGCTAAACACAGTAAAAAATTTTTGAGGAAGAAACAGCTTGGTTTGAATATAGTTATTAAGAGACATTGTTAAATGTATATTTCTTCTCAACAAAAATTGAGCCCAAATAATCATACTCCACAAACTGCTCTCTGTTCTTATGGTCCATTGGAAGGTTTATGTAAGATTTATAATGGCTTGAGCCATAAAAATTGAAAAACTTGAATTCTGTGCTTCACTTTGACAAAATTCAGAGTTTATGAGCCTTTTTACTTGACGTTTTGATCTGGTTGCTATTCATTTTTATCTCAAGTTTCCTTTGCTAGCTGCCACTAAACACTAGTTTGGTCAGGTTTACTGAGATTGGTCTTAGTGGACTAATCCTTTATTTTTGTAGCAAAGAAAGCTATAAAGCTGCTTTTTGATAGAGGCACAAAGGCTGAGAGTGAGTTAGCACTCTAGGGCCATCTCTGGGAGTGTGTTAACACAGGGAAACTCACACCAGTTCCTCCACTTACTCTGTAGCCCAGCACAGGCACACAAAGGGCTGACTTCAAGGTGAAAAGCCTCCAAAGGGGACAGTAATGTTTAGTGTGTGTATACATAAACACCACGTAGCTATGAGGCTCAGGCTCAGGCTTTTTTTCATATTTTTGCAACGGTTGATACAGAACACAGACTTTTAAAATGTGGTATGTTCTAAGAAGATTTGGGGTTGGAGTTTTTGTGGGAGGTACTTGGTTGTTGGGGTTTTTTTGAGGAGGCTGGAGTGGAGGAGTTGCCATTGTAAAAAGTATCGATCATTCAGAACAACTGTTTTCATGCCCAGGAAGCTTGAATGAATATTTAGATTCAACCACTCATTCACAAAGATTTATTGAAGACCCATGTGCCGGTCACCATCTTAGGTTATACATTGGGGTACAAGACAAAGTTATAGGGTCATTGGGGAATAATGACCTTAAAGGATGAGAAGAAAATCACCAAGATCAAAGAAAAGAGCATTTTGACGAACAAGAAAACTAAAAGTCTCAAAGTAGGAATGAGCTTATAGGACGAGAGAGAACGCAGTAAGACCGGAGTCCCGTGGGTGGTGGGGAATGGCAGGTGATAAGGTAGAGTGGCAAGGACTGTGAGCCCATAGAAAGGAATTTAGATTTTATTCTGAATGTGACGGTAAGCCCTTGGACAGTTTTAAGCAAGGGAATGACATGGTCTGCTTTCTATTTGCCTAGTAGATGGAAAACAGGCTATAGTGGGATAAAATAAGGGAGACTATTGCAGTCATCTAGGTGAGAGATGGTGAGAGCCTGGACTGGGGTGGTAGTTGTAGGGAGAAGTCAGATTCAGGAGACCTTTATTGGTGGTGAAGCTGATAATTTGGTGATGGATTAGATGGGAAGAAAATGACCGATTTCTGAGCAAAGGTGGTGATGCCATTAGTTGAGATTTCAGAAAACCAGTAGAGGAGCAAATTGGAGGGTGTAAATTGAATTCTGCCTTGGATATGTTGAGTTTTGAGATTCCTGTTAATTACCCCAACAGAGAGATTGAGCAGGCAGTTGGATATATGAATGTAGAATTGGTCTGGGCGGGGCGGGGGCGGAGGGAGTCACTATATGGATAGTATTTCAAACCAGAGACAGGATGGCAACAGCTAGGAATTTTACATGGGATTAAGTATTTCTTTTGGGGGAGAGAGTTATGGCAACATTTAGTTTGTCAATTCATGATTCTGTATCATTAGATATTTTTGAAAATCTAAAGGATTTGGTAGAGGTAGAGGATTTTGCCTTTCAAAAAGTTTTTAAATACTGAAATCATAAATCTTGCACTCAATTTTAAAATTTTATCCATGCCAAATTTGATTGTCATGCTTCCCATGTCAAATTAGTTTGTGTATCTTTCTTAGTGTAGATTTTTATGTGAGAAATGCAAGTTCGTTATGGAATGTTTAGGAAGTACTGAAGATTATAAAGAATCCGTGCCCCCCAAAATTTAAGAAACAGTCCATATTATCATTTTCTTTATCATTTCCCATCACCAACCCCAACCCTGCCGCTCCTAACTTCCATTTTTGTAATCTTCCAAGAGGTGACTGCTGTTAACATTTATTATGTTCCCTTCCATTATTTTTTCATGAGTTTTTACAGCGAAAGGTTTGAAAGTTTATAAGATATAGATACAGATAGATGCTAACATAAAGAAAAAGGAAGAGAGTTGCAGGCCTCAAATTACTTTGAGAGGGTATACAGATGTGCTCCAGATTCTACTCCTTACCTGATTCAGCAGGGACCTAGGCTTCTTACGTACCTTCAACTCTTGAGGCAGATCATTCAGTGGTTAGAGTAACTGACAGTGCAAAGGCCCAGTCACTGATGGTTTCTTAAAATTTCAGTAGGAGATCCCTTGCCTCATGGAACTTTTAAACTAGGAGGGTACACAAACAAATACAGAAATGTGTAATGATGAGAATATATTGGAAATAGACCAAGCAAAAAATAATTAGACAAAACCTGCTTACATACTTGATAAGGAAAAACAGAGAAGTGACCCAAGTGGAGGCAGGGTGATTTGGTGTCAGGTCTGTTTGATCACAAGAATGTCTGGTAATTGGACTTAACCCCGGGGCGGGGGGGTGGAGAGGCCAGGTGTGGAAATTGTAGTGGTCACTAACAACTGATGAGGGACAGTACCGAGGTAGAAGGATCTGTTGTTTGTGACATTTGAATGTCTGAATCTATCTAGGTTCTTAAGCAAGACAGTATTAGAAATTATGCCAGCAGCTGTAAAATGGATTATAACCGGGAGAGATTGGAGGCAGGAAGCCCTGTGAAATTTGCCTCGATCAGATTGCTAGCACTGGAATTAAACTGAGGAGTGCATCTGAGAGCAGTTGCAAGAGGAAAAAAAAAACATATTTTGGGGTAAAGAAAGGCAAGCAATTTGCTTGCCTAGGAGATTTTGAGTTAAATTTGTCATAGTTTCTCCAAATTCAAGCGAATCATATGGAAGCCAAGCTAGTATCTCCCATTTAATATAATCTGCATCCTATCTGTTTTTAAATTAAGCAAAATATGGAGAGTATATTTTTGAAAGGCACATTTTTAATGCAAAAGATGAATAAATATTTGATCAAATAAGGAAAACTTCATCACTCCTAGATGCACTTTCATAGAGAAAATGGGGAAATTAAAATCTAAAGGAACATCAAAAAAATTATCTGACAAAAATGCTAAAAGGATGGCAAGGTGAGATTGAAGAGGGAGTTAGTGAATTTAACCCCCCACACGCTATCGTGACTGATGTAGGTTTTTTCGTTAATTTTAGTAAGTGAAAGCTGCACTGGATGTTTATTTCGTAGGAATGTATAATATTACCACCCGACATTTCTTTCTCTAGGTGTTTACTAAGCATCCCTTTCTAACTGTAAACCCAAGATTTTAGGGAATTTTTTTAACTTCAGGTAAATTTATCATTACACTAAATGGTTTAATCTTTTCTCATCTGTTTTAAAATACATACAATTAGGCACTTAATCCTACCTTTTATTGCTCCTATTTTTAGGATGAATTATTTGAAGTATATAGGGCTTTTCTTAAACCCCTTAAGATACTTTTCAAATTGAACAGTGATAATTATTTAAAACTTTGTTATCTAATTCTGTAAATATTTTGTAGGTGCCCTTGGGTGCAATTGAGACAGTATTGAATTTTTTTAAAATTTTTTATTGTTATGTTAATCACCATACATTACATCATTAGTTTTTGATGTAGTGTTCCATGATTCATTGTTTGTGCTTAACACCCAGTGCTCCATGCAGAACGTGCCCTCTTTAATACCCATCACCAGGCTAACCCATCCTCCCACCCCCCTCCCCTCTAGAACCCTCAGTTTGTTTTTCAGAGTCCATCGTCTCTCATGGTTCGTCTCCCCCTCCGATTTCCCCCCTTCATTCTTCCCCTCCTGCTATCTTCTTCTTTTTTTCTTGTCTTAACATACATTGCATTATTTGTTTCAGAGGTACAGATCTGTGTATTCAACAGTCTTGCACAATTCACAGCGCTCACCATAGCACATACCCTCCCCAATGTCTAACACCCAGCCACCCCATCCCTCCCACCACCCCCCAACTCCAGCAACCCTCAGTTTGTTTCCTGAGATTAAGAATTCCTCATATCAGTGAGGTCATATGAGACAGTATTGAATTTTAACGACATTACAGGAATAGAGAAATATTTTGGTATAGTGGTTCCAACATTGTGGATGATATAAATTTGCAAATCCTATCTTTCAAACATTGTCTTAACTTAATAGCAGTCTCTTCCTGGATGATGATAATAAGATTAGAAGGCCAGTTGATTTCTAAAATTTGGCTATGCTAAATTCTCATCCTTCCAATAGTCAGAGAGTCTGAGAGGCAGTATCGTTAATTGGTGACATGAGCAAAACAAATGTAAGGGTCCACGTTTGATCTATAAACACTTATGTCAGAGGCTGGGTGATGTGCTGAATACTGGAGGGCAAGCTGCCAGAATAGCTTCCAGGCCCAGCAAACCATATATAACCTGGTGCAGCAGATCGATTATTCTGTAGGACATAGATTTACCTGAGCTGCCTGTGTCTAATCCTCTACATGTCTTTGATACCTGACCTAGAGGGGTTAAGTAGCTTGTCCAAGGTCACAGAGAGAGTGAATGTCAGAGCTAGATTGAAACACAGGTCGGAGGCCAGAACTGAAGCCCTTAGCTGCTATACTTTTTGGATACTAATCTGGTCAGTCAAATTGATGTTTCTTCCAACACTCATTTTTTTATTGACATCTCAAGAGGACAGTAGATTTCCAACAACTGATAAAAATAGATTCTAAACCATTGGTGAAAGTGTTGAAAGAAGAGGCCACGAGAGTCTCCTTATTCCTATCTCCACTTCGTTACCCCTGCCTGTTTCTCCAACTTTTTCTAGCACTACTTTGCCCTTACTCACTGCTTTCCTGTCACACTCCCCTTTCGATGGCTCAAACACTCCAGTCTCTTTCCTACCTCAGGGCCTTTGCACATGTTGCTCCCTCCTGAAATTCTCATCTCCCCATTCTTCCACATAGCAAGATAGATTCTTTTTATTCTTTACACCTAACCTTAAATGTCACCTCCTCAGAGAGACCTGATCATGCCATTTAAAGACTTCCCTCATATTGTTCTCTATCTCTGCCCTGCCTTTGTTTCCTTCATAGTCTTTATTACAAAAACTTGAATATATTTTGAGTTTTGGGGTTTTGACTCTCCCTCTTGAGAAATTCTGAGAAGAGAGACCATGTCTGTTTTGTTTGCTGTTCCATCCTCAGTGCCTAGCACTGAGTGCTTAACACAGAGTAGAAACTTAATATTTGTTAAATGAGTGAATGAATTAACAGTCCACTTGTATTTATTTCTCCACTTTACTGACCGAAATATCATGAAAACCTTATTGCATGTCCTTCTAAAGTCTAGATTGCTCAACCTGTTTATATAATCTTTTAAGTTATTTTGTAATATGAGAGAAGGTAAGGTTAATCTGACATGAATTGTTCTTGGTGAGCCCGTGCAGGTTCCTGGAGATTACCACTTTCCTTTCTAAGTTCTCATGGGCCCTACATTTAGTAATCCATCCCAGAATGTTGCCCAGGATTATGTCAAGTTCATTGGTCTGCAGTTTGTGGAACCACCTGTTTCCCCTTTTTTAAAGACGGGAATCTCCTTTCTCTGGTCTTCCAGCGCGCCTTCTGTTTTCCTCAGCACCTCTGATGCCTCAGCCTTCAGAGACCTTATTTGGAGACTCTTAGTTCTCTGGGAAAAAAATTAACCTAGGCCAGGCTATTTGAACATATTTATAGCAGCTGTGTTTTTTCTAGAATCTCTTCACCCATTTGGACCATGAATGCCTTCTTGCCAGCATTTGTTCTGCCTTTTTCAGAAAAGGCAAAGTGTAATAGGAATCGGATAACTGAGCTTTCCCATCATCCATTAATAGTATACCACTGACTGTTCCTTCATTTATCATCTCCTTATCTCATGTGTAACTAAAACTGTGTGTATGTGTTTAAATCAAAATACTTTCCTAGTAGTAGGTTGGGTGTCTTTCCCAATGCACTTGGATCGTCTTTTTAAGTATGCCATAGTTGTGTAGCAAAAACAGGTGACTCTAAGATAGTTCCTCTTGAAAAGCTTGCCCTTTAAGATGCAGTGCAGGGGCACCTGGGTGGCTCAGTCGTTAAGCGTCTGCCTTCGGCTCAGGTCATGATCCCAGGGTCCTGGGATCGAGCCCCACATCGGGCTCCCT